TCACACGCCTGTACTCACGCATTTGTGGGAATAAGTTTACCCTTTATGTATAAGACTAAACAAATAAATGGAAATGAAATACTGTGTAACATTCAGTGCCATAATATCTGACAACAGGGGTTAATTATTATGACCCTTTTGTAGAAGCCCTACTCCTGTAATCCTTGCACGCTACCGCTCACCCAGGATGAGTGTGGGGTGCACAATAAAGTAACCGCTGCAAGCAACAAAAAAATCAAAATCCACCACCACCATCATCATCTGTCATCATCATGTCATCATCATCATCACACCATCATCATCATCATCATCACCACCACCACCACCACCACCACCACCACCACCACCACCATGACATCCCTCAGTTATAAAGGGTTAGCTTAGTACAGGATTAACACAGGATTCTTGACATGGCAGAATAAACAAGGGAATGGATATATATTTTTAATCCTCACTACTCCTGCCATCGTTATCTGCCTCTCGTCCCCGTTATCACATTTTTCTCCTTCCTACCATTTACTTAATGAAATTCCTGCTATCACTTTCATTGCAATCTATTCGCTGTTCCTCTATTTACGATGCGATGTCAAAAGTAATTCCTATATGACACTGTTCTCAATCTACTGCTACAGACAGACAGACAGACAGACCCCCCCCCCCACACACACACACACACCAAACAGTTAATCTTTGATATAACATCCCATTAAAACATTCCCATTACCATCCTGAAAGACCCCATTACACTTCAGTAAATAAACCTACCATTAACCACCATTAATAACAGCATAGATCCCATTGTACTGCCATAATCATCAGTTAAAGTTCCCCCCATTAACCCATTAACCTAACCTACCCATTAGTTTATTATCTCCCGTCGTAGGAGAGTCTCGCCATCAGTATCTCAATATTACCATTGTTAAGGCCGCCTATAGTACCATCATTAATCACTTTACATCATTAACCTCACTGGAATATTATAGTAATGAATATCTCCCTCACCCCCCCATCCCTCTCCCTCACCCCCTCCCTCACCCTCTCCCTCACCTTCTCCCTCTCTCTCCCTGGAGGATCTTCGTCTTCCTTCTTCCTCCCTACCTTAAACCAATTCACCTTTAGGGGTTTACCTTAAAATAAATTTCCATTAAGGGGATACTTTAAGTCTTTCACATTAAGGGAAACACTTAAAATCAGGTCACGCTAAAGAGTCATCATGAATCAACTCCCATTCACAGGTCAGACAAGGTCACGAGCCTCGATAAAGATCCCCGACTTCCGCAAAGCTACTCTCAACAGCCTTAACAAACTACCAATTAAAATCTCCCTGGTAGCTTCTATTAAGTAAGACTAATTATCTATCCTACACAAACACAAAATACCACAATGGAAGGTATTTTTTTTCTCCTCTATACGAATCAAAAACCAATTACAAATAAAAGAGTAAATTGTCATAAGGTTTTGTGTTCGTGGACAGCGGCATATATTTTTTTTTTTTTAGTTTATCATTTAAATAAAGAAAGATAACAAAAATATATCATTCTTCTCTCGTTGGACGCTGCGCTACTAAGAGGTACAATGTATTTTTTAAACATTGTATAAAATTTCTAAGTCTTTTATTTAATTCAATGTCACGTTAACAGTCTCGTATTGTATAAAAAAAATACTATAATTTTTTTTACTATTAAATGAGTGATGTAGCAGGACACTAATAATTCGGAGGTGAATTATATAGACACTGTACTTGATAGTGTTATTAAGACAACTGAAGTGTTAGGTGTTAATATGTGCTGTATTAACTAGCTGTGTTAATCTGTGCTGTATTAACTAGCGGTGTTAATCTGTAATGTAATAACTAGCGGTGTTAATCTGTGCTGTATTAACTAGCGAAGTTAATCTGTGCTGTATTAACTAGCGGTGTTAATCTGTAATGTACTATAACTAGCGGTGTTAATCTGTGCTGTATTAACTAGCGGTGTTAATGTGTGCAGTATTAACTAGCGATTGAATCTGACGAGGTACAGTGAACAAGTTACAGCTCGTCTTGTTTCTTGTATTAGTTTACCACTTGAGTACTATGACTTAATCCCCTTGAGTACTATGACTTAATCCCCAGAGTACAATGACTTTATCCTCTTGAGTACAATGCCTTAATTCCAGTAACAGTGTCCCAAAATATTTAAGATAACTGACAGTGTCCACACAGCCTAAAAGACATCGAACATAGACCAGATAAGTCAGTGAGTCAGACATGAGTGTATGTCTCGTAATTAACAGTATTAAGTGAGATGATTGGTACTGGAGACGTAGTGAATGAGGTTAACGAAGGCTTAACTACCTCGTTATCGACGGTGTAATGATGACCGGGAAAAAAGTAAAATGAACCAGTTGGAGTTATTTTTAATTACCTTGATGGAGCTATATAATTATAGATAGATAGATAGATAGATAGATAGATAGATAGATAGATAGATAGATAGATAGATAGATAGACTGAAACAGATTTCACAGATTACAAAATAAATTACAGTGAAGAGCGAAACGTACGTGTGTGTGTGTGTGTGTGTGTGTGTGTGTGTGTGTGTGTGTGTGTGTGTGTGTGTGTGTGTGTGTGTGTGTGTAATAATAATAATTAACGGTTTATTGAAGAGCAGCCAGAAGGCTGAAAATATACAGTTACATATTTGGGGAATGGGTTACGAATTACAAATAATATACAAGTAACATAAGTGACACAAATAAGACATATAATAACTAGATGGGGAAAAGCTCAAACTACAGGGCATTTCAACATAGTGACAGTGCAAGAAGTAGTGTTTACTGGGAGTGAATACACTGGTTTATTACAAGTTATTGATAATTTTACAATGGTTGGGACTGGGCTGTTCTTATAGCGATCAGTTCGTGCACGTATGGGCTGGATGCGGTTGTGGTGTCGAACAGCAATTCTCGGACAGGGGATCTCGGGTGGTAGTAGGGGCCGGTGTCGGGGATGGTGAAGAAGCTTCTTACCAAATTTGCAGATGAGGCCGTGGTGATGGTCAGTGAGAGTCGAAAGGGTCAGTGTGTTGAGCGCTTCTTGATATGTGGAGTAGGAAGGGGAGAGAATAATCTTGCATGCCCTCTTTTGCACTTTTTCTAGGTGTTTACGTTGTGTGGCATTTAGGGAGGAAGACCAGGTGGGGGAGGGCATAGGTGAGCTTGGGAAGTATGAATGTTGTGTATACACTGAGGAGCTGTGCAGGAACTCCGAGGGACTTGAGTCGGCGGAGGAGGTGGAGACGGAAACTGGAGGATTTGACAACTTCACTGACGTGTGGTTTTAATTTAGTTTGTTGTCTATGTGGTGTGTGTGTGTGTGTGTGTGTGGAAGAAAAACAAATATAAACTAAGACACAATAAAACAGAATAAGACACAAATTACGAGGTAAATGTCAAAATTAAAACAAAAACGATGAATAAAAACAAGACGATAAAAAAACATAAAAGCGTACAAAAACAAACACTGAAATCGATGTTTGAAAAGAGGATTGTAAGGTGTGGGAGATTGTGGGTGGAGGGTGGTGACAGGTGTGGGTGGAGGTGTGGTGATAGTGTGGGTGGAGGGGTGTGGGTGTGGTAGCAGGTGTGGGTGGTGTGGTGACGGGGTGACAGATTGTGGGGTGGAGGGTGTGGGTGGACAGATTGTGGAGTGGAGGGGTGTGGTGTGTGGGGTGACGGGGGTGGAGGGTGGTGGGTGTGGAGGAGGTGGGGTAATGGTGGGTGGGAGGGTGGGTGGGTGTGGTGAGGGTGTGTGGGGTGGGAGGTGTGGTGATGGGGTGTGGGTGGAGGTGGGGTGGAGGTGTGGGTGGAGTGGGGTGTGGGTGGAGGGTGTGGTGTGGTAATGGGTGGTGGAGGGTGTGTGGTGTGGTAAAGGTGGGTGGAGGTGTGTGAAGGTGGTGGAGGGGTGTGGTGTGGTGGGGGTGGAGGTGTGGTGAAGGGTGTGGGTGGAGGGTGTGGTGTGGGTGGTGTTGGGGGGTGTTAATTATCTCTTGATCATCACACGATTAATCACAGTCGAAAAAAAAAGAAAAAAAAATATATTTCATTTGCAATTCAATTTTGACTCTTAATCACGTCGTTCATAAATCACAAAGTCATAAATCACGAACGAGGGAAAAAACTTATTTTCTACCCTCTCTATCCCCTCTCATCCCTCCTCTCATCCCCCTCCCCCATCCCCTCTCCTCCACCTTGACCTCTAACTCGTTCCCGACCCCATTAACTCCCTAGCACCCTCTCTCAACCCCCTCCTCCACCCCTTTAACCCCCTAACACCCTTCCCACCCTCCCCCACCTCATCTCCACCCCCTAACACACTCCCCACCTAATCCCTATCCCCTTAACCATCTCCCCCACCCCTTCCCATACCTCATTTGCATCCCTTGACCCCTAACTTCCTCCCCCACCCCTCACCTCTCCCCACCCTCATCCCTTATCCCTTAACATCCTCCTCACCCCTCTTCCCCACCCCCTAACCCACCCACCAACCCTAAATAAACACGGACATACATCATCAGCTGTCAAAAATTTCCTCATATTAAGTTCAATTGGGTAATATGTTCACCCGAGTGGTTTAAATGGCACACGTCACCAACAGTCTGCGTTCACCCTATCTGTTGGTTTATTAAAGCTGATTGATTTTACTGTTGTTTTGTTTTGTGTTTTTTTTTTGGCATTGGTGTTTGAGTCAGGTGTTGTTATTGCTGTTTGCATCTCTCTCTCTCTCTCTCTCTCTCTCTCTCTCTCTCACTCTCTCTCTAATTCTCTCTCTTTCTAATTCTCTATCTATCTCTCTCACTGCCACAAGATAGCTCCAGTTGTGGCCCGTCTTTCACATATGGTAATCTACACAAGGAAGGTATGGGCGATAATTCCTTTAATTCCGACAAGAATTTTGGCTGCTGGTCAACCACACAGGCCCAGTGAGAGAGAGAGAGAGAGAGAGAGAGAGAGTAGCGGATATGACGTCACACGAACGCCTGGAGTCCACTGCCGGTCACCGCTCACGAACGACTGAATGGATTAATGTGCTTTCCATACTTGGCATCAGGCTAAGGAGTAATATATATGGGAATGGCGGTGCAAAGGCGGACGATTTCAGGATCGGATTAAGGTCGGTGGCGCTGACGTCTCCTCTATACGGTAGGGGAAGGAGAGGGTGGGGAGGAGAAAAAGGGGAGAGAAAGAGGAGGAGAGAGAAGAGAAGGGGATAAGAAGGAAGGGAAGAACGTTCGATTATATACTACCAAACTGACAGAGGTTCGATTATGTACAGCACAGGACAAACATGAGTCAAAAAATATATCTATTATGATATTAAGTAACTCATATGAAAGAGAGAGAGAGAGAGAGAGAGAGAGAGAGAGAGAGAGAGAGAGAGAGAGAGAGAGAGAGAGAACATAAACTCAGAACAATTAATATAATGACAATTCAAAGAACAGTGGGAAAATACCTCCGCCCTTATCACATCATTCCTACCTCTTACCCTATAACGAGTCCCTAATATTTTACCCTTATCTACAGGGCGTCAGGTCACGTGGCACACTTCCTGCGAGAGAGAGAGAGAGAGAGAGTTCTAGCCTAGTGTGTGTGTGTGTGTGTGTGTGTGTGTGTGTGTGTTGTATAATGAGCTGTAGGTCATATTTATGCTAAGTGATATTAAAGACAGTGTATTGGTTTGAATAATAATAATAATAATAATAATAATAATAATAATAATAATAATAATAATAATAATATATGATAATAATAATAATAATAATAATAATAATAATAATAATAATAATAATAATAATATCATGATAACACTACTAAGAATAATAACATTATCCAATTACTACACCACGAGAACTGCCATAACTCAGGTACGGACAGAAAAATACAGGTAATTTGATAATACCGTGGAACACACACACACACACACACACACACACACACACACACACACACACACACACACACACACACACACACACACACAGTATCTGGCACTCTCCATCATACACCTTGAAGAGAGAAGGCATTATGTATCGCAAGGCCCCGCCAGCAGACCACCTCAAAGTATAGCGAAAATATGATTGCGGACATATTCCAGGAAAAGTGTGCTGGTGGGTGTAAGGTGGATGAACACAGGAGGCCACACTCAAGAGATGAGGTTGAGGGAGAGCAAAGGTGAGAGGGAGAAAAGGAGGGAGAGGGTGAGTTGAGGGTGAGAGGGAGAGTGAAAGGGAGAATGAAGGTGAGGGGATGATGGGGTGAGGGTGAGAAGGAGAATGGGAGAGAGGGTGAGAGTGAGAAAGGGTGGGAGAGGGTTAGGAGAGGAAGAAAGGGAAAGAATGGGTGAGAGCTTGGGTGAGAGGGAGAAAAGGGGAGGGTGATAGGGGATTTAAGTAGGAGATGGGGAAGGTGAGAGGGGAAAAGGGAGAGAAAGGGTGAGAGTGAGGGTGACAGGGAGAATGGGAGAGAGTTTAATTTAACAACTTTCCTGGCAAGATTGAGGTACAATTTTGCCTAATCTAAGTAGTTCAATCAGGTCTTGACACTAAGGGAGCCATCACTACTCACTGCCACATAGGACAGAGGTTCATACACAAGAGGAGATAACAGAGTAGGTTATATTGATTAGTGTCACTACTCACTGCCACATAGGACAGAGGTTCATACACAAGAGGAGATAACAGAGTATATTGAATAGTGTCATAGCATGTCTAAGGACTAATCAGTGTGGACGAGCCAATTTAGTATACACCGACAACAAATCTTCAAAGACTCCTGATTCACTGTAGTAGTTACCTAGTTCATGATACAATAAGCCAGGTGGTCTGAAGCCATTGGCAGTGTTACATTCTATTATATACTGTTCAGGTATATACTTTAAAGGTTTGGATAGTTTCACGAACCTGCCAGACGTATTGGCTACGACTACAACACAGTGTCTGGTTCTGTCCTTGTGGGAGAGGGTGATGGAGTGAGAGGAAGGGTGAAGGGTGAAAGAAGTAGGGGGGTGGGATGATGGTGAGAGGAGAGAGAGAGAGAGAGAGAGAGAGAGAGAGAGAGAGAGAGAGAGAGAGAGAGAGAGAGAGAGAGAGAGAGAGAGAGAGAGAGAGAGAGAGAGAGAAACCCCAAACAAGTTCTCACGTCAAGTTGCTGTTAATAAGTAAATTACATACAACAAGCTGTCAGCTTCCTCCTTGATTGACTCCACCTGTCTGTGTGTGTGTGTCTGTCTGCTTGTCTTTCCGTCTGTTCGTGGCGTGTCTCTGTCTGTGTACTCTTCGTCCCTCGTCTTCTACTTTTTTCTTGCCTGCCTGCCTGTCTGCCTGCTCGTCTGCCTGCCTCGTCTCCTGTCTGTCTGTCTGTCTGTCTGTTTGTCTGCACTCTCTCTCTCTCTCTCTTCTCTCTTCAACATTCCTTATATTTTGCTAATAGGTCAAAAAATTTCACCATAATGAGTCATATAACCTGAGAAAAAGTAATTCATCAAAGGTTTACGAAAAGATATCATTTGCTCTCATTCACCTCCTCTTTCTTTTTAATGCGATCGAGAGTGCTCTAATTAAGGGTTCGAACAATAGTCCAATTAGGAGACGGGGGTGGAGGGGCTTTAACCAATTACCTGTCTTCTTATTTCACTTCTACGACTTCTCCCCCTCCCTCTCTCCCTCCCTCCTTCCCTCCTTCCTTCCTTCCCACATCCATAAAACTTGTTGATTAATTTTAAGGTCAAATTACAAGCGTCCATGTATCAAGGTCGTGACGTAGTAGTGACGTCATCAACCATGGGGGGGGTGGGGGGTAATAAATACTGTACGTTTCTAAGCGCATTAATGGTTTTATTCGCTGTTCTCGATCGTAATAATTACTGTACTCGGCTAGATCAATTGGGTAAGGGGAAATTACTTTTTAATCTTGGTATAAAAACATTCACTCGGTATTCTCGGTCTATGTTTGTGACGTTACCTTCTTGGACCACTCGGATGACATAGCGATAGTGATGTCATCACCTGGCTGGACCAATCAGTTGACATAGAGGCAGTGACGTTACCTGGATGGAGCAATTATTTGACATAACAAGAGTGACGTCATCTGGTTGAACCAATCAGGTGAAATAGCAATGATGACGTCACCTGGCTGGACCAATTAGGTGACTTAGTGATCTTTTGGTTATCCGTTACATTAAAATACCGAATGAAAATAGTCAGTGACGTAATACATTGTCTTCCCCAAGGCATAAAATACATCCGGGCGACAAGAGCGATGATTCTAGCCCCAAGTATACGATACACGATCTTACAGCCTGGCCCAAGACTACTACTTGCCCACTCTCACTTCTCCCTCTTTTTCTCTCAACTGTCTTCTTTCTCTTTCTACGCTGCCCCTCCCCCTAGCGAAGGATGTCAGGTACACCCATAGTCAGAGTGAGAGAGAGAGAGAGAGACCATACATCTCTTATTAGTGATGTCGGCTCTCTCTGTTCTTCTTCCTTCTTCTTCTCTCTCTTCTCTCATTGCCTCGTCTTTTATCCTCCTCCTCCTCCTCCTCCCCCTCTCTTATTCTCCTTCCTCCTCCTCTTCTCTCATCACCTTTTACTTCTCCTCCTCCTCCTCCTCCTCCTGATCTTCCTCTTCTCCCTTCTTCTTCTTCTTCTCTTCTCTAAATATCTTATCCTTTTTCTCTTCTCTCACTGTCTCGTCCTCCTCCTCCTCCTCCTCTTATCGCCATTATCAAGTCCGTCATGTTCTTCCCATCGTTATCAGAGCCTCGTATATCTTCCTCGCTCCCTCCTCCTCCCGTTTTATCGTCTTCTTATCAAGTCTCTGTTCTGGCGACGATATAAACGTGGACAGTATAGCGAATATTCGTTGTTGGTATAGCGTATATATGTTGTTGGTATAGCAAATCTTTGTGGCTGATACAACGAATATTTGTTATAAGTTGAGGGAATATTCTTTTTTTCAGAACATTAACGACATATGTGTGGTAGAGATGGAGAACGAACCCACACGAGTTACAGTGAAATACAAGATTTTGTACATAGTCTACACGAGAAGTTGTTTCCGAGTGATACATACATACGTGTGTGTGTGTGTGTGTGTCGTATTTCCCCAAGCCTTTTTTATCCATGTACGGACAAGTACCAGCTGACCTCTCTCTCTCTCTCTCTCTCTCTCTCTCTCTCTCTTCAACAGACGGGAAGTACATCATTATCTTTTTTCTTACAGACAAACAGACAGTAACTCCCTCTCTCCTCTCCCCAACAGACGGGAAGTACCTCACTATCTCTCTCTTCTCTTACGGACAAACAGACAGTAACTCTCCCTCTCTCTCTCTCTCCAACAGACGGGAAGTACATCATTATCTTTTTTCTTACAGACAAACAGACAGTAACTCCCCCTCTTTCTTCTCTCCAACAGACGGGAAGTACCTCACTATCTCTCTCTTCTCTTACAGACAAACAGACAGTAACTCCCTCTCTCCTCTCTCCAACAGACGGGAAGTACCAGGCGCTACTGGACGGGCGTCTCCTGGTACACGAGGTGAAGGCAGCCGACTCGTACGCCACCTATCGCTGTCGGGTCCTCCACACCCTCACCTCCACCACCGCTGCCTCCAACACAGCCAGAATCATCGTCCACGGTGAGTCTATCTTTAAAATTATCTTTCTTTTTCTCACTTTTTCGATCTCTAAATTTATCTTTCTTTTTCTCACTTTTTCGATCTCTAAAATTATCTTTCTTTTTCTCACTTTCTCTATCTCTAAAATTATCTTTCTTTTTTCACTTTCTCTATCTCTAAAATTATCTTTCTTTTTCTCACTTTCTCTATCTGTAAAATTATCTTTCTTTTTCTCACTTTCTCTATCTCTAAAATTATCTGTATCTAACGTTTTATTTTTTCTAACCGCCAAAATCTTTCTTTCTTTATCTTTCTAAATTCTTGACCTTAAAATAGTATTGTTTTATGGCCGTGTCAAAGGACAAACTTACTCACAAAATTCAAAGATCATCAGTGAGAATTCTATCTCAACCAGATTCTCAATTCACCGAAGACTTCATCAATTATGACGACGGTCAGGAATTAGTATGCTAAATCTTTACCTGCGTCTAATGTATTCATGTTTAATTCCTGTTCACATTAACTATAACACAATAGCCTAAAACTGTTGGAATAAATAAGGTGAAGTCGTGTTACCTTTACAACCTCACTAAGGAATTAATGAGCATGACTAGCTAATTGTATAAACAGGGGTATTCAAATCTAACCTAATCTAACCTAAGGTGTTTGGTATTTAAATCATCAGATAAAATAAACTGAGAAAGGACCACTCATCAAGTGATCTATAAACCATGTACATAATATCTATTGGAATATCGAGAGTCCCGGGGTTCGATTCCAGGTAAGAAGGTGTTGGAGGCAGAAAGGGTTAAAGGTATTACGTTCCCTCCTCACACCTGCTGTTTCTGTTAACCTGAAAATTAGGCTTTGGAATTGTAAGGTGGGGTTGTGAGTACAGGTGGGGGACGAGGTGTGAATAATATATAGCGTGGGGTGCAGTGTGCCAACCTGAGGAACCCCTGGGAAGTGCTCCTCGTCTCACCACGGCCAGGCAATTCATTTCAGAAAAGCTGACTGGAACGTTTTTATTATTGTTTTTATGTAAATTCAGTTGTATGTTATTTCAGTAAAGAAAATTAAAAGATAATCATTTGGGTATTTCTAGATAATGAAATTCAGATCAGATAATCAATAGTGGACTTCAGAAGTGATAATTATGAAGGCATTTCAGTACAGATAACATTACTGAATTTTAGGAAAGAAAACCAGTAAGGAATTTCAAGAGTGATAATCAAGAGAGAGTTTCAGAAACGTAGCCAGGTGAATAGTGGATAGTTAGTTAGCTTACTTCCAAACATAACTCAAGTAAAGCTGGCACATTAAGCTGTGAGTAAGCGGTAAATGCAACTTAGTAATTATTAACGTACAGGACTATCACATAATTCAGCTCAGATAATTAACAGATACATTTAACGACTAACATCCTCCCTAGTTATGTTCATTTATAGCTAGTTAACTAAGACACTTCATTTGAGGCCAGTTAACCATTAAAGTTCACTTCGGGCTACTTAACCAACATAGTTCGGCTACTCAAATCACTACAGTAACTCAACCAGTTTAATTTTGCGTCAAGTACCAAAACATCTCCGGCTAAAGCACACACACACACACACACACACACACACACACACACACACACACACACACACACACACACACACACACACCCACACACACACACACACACACACACACGAGGTTCTCAGCCGAACATCATTACCAGTAACTGTAAAGTGATCCCGTAACTAGACGGTCAAGAATGTTCACAAAGAAGACCTGTACATGTTATTACGCTTCGTACTCACACACTGGAAGGACGAGCTAATGACTTACCTAATAATACGAGTAATTACACAACTTATAAATCGATAAGATACAATTGAGTTTCCCTTAAAGAAAATGAACTGTTAGTAAAGCCTTGATAACTCGGACTAATTGGGGGAAAATGTAGCCGATATATATAGCCTACAAAAACCATGATGAAAGTTAACCCTTCTTAAGATGTATAAACATTTAAAATATAAACAATATATCGTAATTCAATGAAACAATTGAATAAGTAATGAATAAATTAAAACATTAATTTCTGTAAAAGTCATCACCTACCAATTAACCATTTAACCACCGAGAGAGAGAGTGTGTGTGTGTGTGTGTGTGTGTGTGTGTGTGTGTGTGTGTGTGTGTGTGTGTGTCCATTGACTCTAGATCACAACCATCCACCATTAAAAAGGAAATGAATTGAAAAAAAAAATACCAAACCACCAGAGATTTCCTACCAAGTCCTTCATCACACATTAACAACGGCAGGAGTCACACATTAACCACAGCTTCAAACACAAGACGAGGAGGACAGGTGAGAAATATAGGTTCATTGTCAGTACGAACACCTTACACCTTAAAATATTGCTCACTCATATATTCAACACCTGAGAGAGTCCCCCCACACCTGACTACCTATTAATAACCAGTTCATTACCTGTATGATTCTTACCTGTACACACACACACACACACACAACGAAGAACAGGTGATTAAAATATATACCCCATTTCCCTTCAATAATTCCTAAACATTACATATACAGACGTTAACTTTTTTTTAATAGTGTTTTTAGCTCACTCACTTAACCACTGACGGAGAAGTATTTTTTTTTTTTTTACTCTCTTCTGGCAAAACGAACTTCAATTCCATCCTAAAACCGAGGTAGCCAGGTGGGTTCCTCAGATAGATACTGTACTTGGTCACACGGCAGCAAACACATCTCATTTACAAGATCCGCTGAGTCGTTGGTTCTCCTTCCTTTCCTCCTTCCTTTCCTCCTCCTCCTCCTCCTCCTCCTCCCCCTCTTCCTCTTTCTCCTCTGCACCACACGAGTCAATATCCTCAAAATGCTTTTCTTCTCTTTCATTTTCTTTAAACCGTGATCTCCTTCCTCCCTACTTTCCTTTCTCTCTTCTCCTTTCTCTTCCTTTCTTGCTCCTCGTCTCCTTCCTTACTTCCTTTCTCTTATTCTCCTCCGATCCCCCGTTTCTGTTTCACTATCTCAGATTCTCCTTGTTTTCTTGTTCTTATTTTTCCTCCTTCCTTTGTTCTCCTTTATTCCCCTCTCACGCCTCCTTCCCTCTCCTCCAAATCCCCTTTCACACCTCCCGTGTAACCTCCTTCCCCTCTTCCTTCCCCATCCACTCTCATCCTTCTTCACTCCTTGTTCTTTTTACCTCCCCCTTTCACCTTTCCCCATTCTCCTTCTTCCATCCTCCCTCTTCCTTACCCCTCCTTACCCCCTCCTTCACCCTCTCTTCCCCTCCTTCACCCTCCAGCACCTCTTTCATCTCCCTTCTTCCTCCCCCACCTCTCATCTTCCTTTCCTCTCCTTCACCCTCCTTCCCACCCCTCATCCTCCCTTCCCCTCCTTCACCCTCTAACACCTCCTCCTTCACTCCCTTCACCTTTCCCCAACCTCCCTCTTCCTTATCCCTCCTTCACCCTCCCTTCCCCGCCCCCCACCACCTCTCATCCACCCCCTACCTCAGCCACGATTGCAATGATGATCCCGGGTTCTTGTGGCAATACCGGCGAAGGAAAGTTGAATCCCCACACAAGACGATCCCAAACTACGTGCAAGTCTTCGGCGGATGAAAAACATGGAGCAAACAAAGTGAAAATTCGATTCGTGTTTTTTTCACCCTCTTTTCTTTGCGGTTTGAGCATCCAAATCCTGTCTTGTAAACCGGGAAGGATCATTGTCGAATACTTTGTACCACTGAGGGAGAGAGAAAAAGAGAAAGAGGGAATGATAAAGAGGGAGAGAAAGAGTTCGAAATAAAAGGACAAAGACAAAGAGAGAAACGGAAAGAATGAAACTTAAAGATGAAATCAATAGAATAAAAAAAATATAAATAAAAACACTAATTACTATAAAGAAAAACACAAAAAAAACAAAGAAAAACTGCACAAAAAACACCACTGAAACAAAAACAAACTATAATTAAACGAAACTTTGAGACGCGTTGTAAAGGAAAAAGTTTCAACAAAGATAAGAAGAAAACTTTTAGAGGCGTTACTCTTAATGATCCGTGAGACTGGTGCCAGGTGTCATATCTCACCTGTGGCGAAATTTGTAGGACACACACACACATACACACACACACACACACACACATGACAGCCACCAGAGAAAAGACAGAGAGAGAGAGAGAGAGAGAGAGAGAGAGAGAGAGAGAGAGAGAGACCAATAAACACTACACAGGTAAGACTCATCACAGGTGTACCTCATTAACACTACACCTTACTTTCTAAACAACAAACATCGGCTCTAAGATATTAAGTGAATCATTATTTTCCCTCTTCAGGCTCAAGTCTCCTGTTACAGCCCCTATTGTTAAAACACTAAGGGCCTGCCCCACTCGGTGTAGTCAGCACTGTTGGAGACCACTCAGACCTTTATCACTGGTCACATCTATAGACAGACCGATACAGGGGAGGGAGGGGGGGGAGAGGTGTGGTGTGTATGGTGTGGGTTAGCAAGTGTATGATGCGATCGATGTGAAGGTCTTTTATAACACCATATACTGCATCTTTCTGGGTAAAGCTCCGTTGATGTGTTGCAGAAATACGAGGTGATCCTTTTACCTCTCTCCTTCTCCACCCCTCCCCCCGCCTCCCCACCACTACCCCGGTGATCTGTAGGTGTTAGTTTATTGGTAAAAACTGAATATGAATGGAGTTTGGGTGAGGTGAAATACTGTACACGTTCTGTTAAAACGCGGGATTAAGCCTACGGACACGGTGCACTATTTTTTTTAAATATATTTGTGTGTGTGCGTGTGTGTGTACACGCGGACTTCCAAATACAAACAATACCTGACTTGTCGGGGATCGAACCCTGGTCCTCTGTATCTGAACAGTATGTGTGTGTGTGTGTGTGTGTGTGTGTGTGTGTGTGTGTGTGTGTGTGTGTGTGTGTGTGTGTGTGTGTACACATATATGTATATGTAATTTCCCCTTTTCCTTTTACCCCTTTTTTCCATGATAATCCGCCCACCAGATGGAAAGACAACTATATATATATATATATATATATATATATATATATATATATATATATATATATATATATATATATATATATATATATATAAACCCTCTCACTGTAAAACCTCCTCTGAGGTCCTCAACCACACATACAATAATAAATCTTTACCCTCACATTTCATTTCCTTTAACAAACATCTCCCACCATTCCCTGTACTGAGTGATGTACCTTGCATAACAAGTGCATGTACACAACCACTGCCTTTTCTACATACTATGCTGTACAAATTATGCTATGCTGCACTGCACTGTACTGTACTGTACTGTACTGTACAGAACTGTACTGTACTAGCCTGGAGTAGGCACCTCAGCACCGAAAGAGAAGTAATACTCTATAACATCAACACCAACCTACGGACAAACAGTCACCTTCGAGTTCGAGTTGACAGTTCAATGTTGTCTATCGCTGAAGCACAACAGGGAGTCCATCTATGAACAGTACCGAAGACTAAATCTACAAACACCAACAAACACCTCAACAAACACAACAAACTTACAACAAACTTACAACAAACAACAATAAACACACAAACTTACAACAAACAACAACAAACACACAAACTTACAACAACAACACACAAACAGCAACAAACATACAACAAACAACAACAAACACACAGACAGCAACAAACACACAACAAACTTACAACAAACACCAAAAATACCCCAATTTATAATAATTTTCTCCAAGTTTTAAGTCCCATTAAGATCTCTCAGGTTTTAGATACATGTTAACTCGTCAAACACCTGGAGGCTGTGTGAACTGTTGCAGTGACCCTGTGTTGTATTGAGGTCTGGTAAATCATTGTGTCGTTTACTGCCGTATTATCATGCTGTTGATCATACTTTACATACATACATACATACATACATACATACATACATACATACATACATATATACATACATACATACATGTACTGGATATGCAAATTCCCTCGTGTGTGTGTGTGTGTGTGTGTGAATGGTAATAACACGTCTTAACCTTTAAATCCACCGAAGAGAAAAAGTTATAATTTACCCACAAGGTCAAACTATTAGTTCTGATACGTGCCTTTTCAACTTGGCCCAACCACACTGTCTCTGGGGAGAGAGAGAGAGAGAGAGAGAGAGAGAGAGAGAGAGAGAGAGAGAGAGAGAGAGAGAGAGAGAGAGAGAGAGAGAGAGAGAGAGAGAGAGAGAGGGTAAGAGACGAGGGAGAGAAGTTCGAGAAAAGAAGGAGGGAGAGTGAGATATAGAGGGAGGAAGGGATAGATGTATGGAAGGAGGGGGGGAGATACGCAAGGAGAGGGATGGAGGGAGAATAAAAAGGAGGAAATAAGGAAGGAAGGGAGGGAGACAAATAGAAGTGGAATGAAGGATTGAGAGGGAGGGATGGAGAAAGCAAAGGGAGGAAGGAGAGAGGGAAGTTTTAACACCTGAATTACGCAAAGGTGAATAAATACGCGAAGTTTAATTAGAAAAGAAAGATTCGATTATATATTGAAAAATAATAGTATCTGAAACAATTAATAAAGAAATAAGACAAATAAGAAAAAATAGAACAAAATAAATTCTAGAAACGATAAAAAAAATCTCGATTAATACAATTTTTTTTTTAGGATAATTTGACGTAACATATTTGTGCTCCTGCCAACAGACCCCCGAGAGCGTCAGGCGCCAAGGATGGTCACCAAGTCTGCCACAGTGAAGCTCTCTGACTCCAAGCCCCTGGTGCTCCCCTGTGTCGCCAACGCCCACCCGCCCCCAAAGTACAGGTAAGACACGCCCACCCACCCCCAAAGTACAAGTAAGCCACGCCCACCCACCCCCGAAGTACAGGTAAGCCACGCCCACATAACCCCTTTTAGTGTAACTTGCCACGCCCACAAGGCTCGCCCCCTAGCCTATGCCCACTACCTCTCCCCCACCAGCTTCACCCCTTACATCCACACCCGCCAACTCCTCCCCAAGTCAGCTGGTCCCCCCTCTCCCCCTACCGCCCATGCCCACCAGTTTCCCCCTCCCCCACCCCACCCCAGTACGCCCACAACATAAAAGTACACTTCAAAATGCCCTTTAATAACTTTGGGCTGAAGTAGACAAAGTTTATCAGGGATTCATTAACTATTGTTTTTATGGAAGTCAATTTACGAAAAGTTTCCTCTAAAGTTGTATAATTAAACTCCGGTACTGGGACCTGGCATTAAATAACATGCTGACAGATCAAACTACATGCGTTTACTAATGAGGCGGTAGATTAATAGGAGGAGGTAGGAAGAGGAGGTGGAGGAGGTAGAAGGAGGAAGAGGAGGAGGTAGAAGGAGGAAGAGGAGGCGGTAGATGTATAATAGGAAGAGGAGATCGTAGTATGAAATGGAGGAAAAGGAAGAGCAGAAACGGGAGGAGAAGAAAGAAGAAAACGAGGGATAGATGGTTGATTTGCACAGACACGAACGAGGAAGACGCCCTAAGGAACACATAGATATCAAAGGGGAACCCAAGAAGACCGGACTAACCTCAAGCTGCAATGGCGTCACATCGAAAGATAATCCATTAATCGGTTAAAATTTGAGTCCCATAGAATGATAATCCCTAGAATGATAACTCTCCCACATCCATCTTGAAAACCCCAGCATCCACCTCGCCACCCTCCCATTTGTCTCGCACCCAGGCCAGCTCGCCATCTTCGCCACAAACCAATCCCAAACTCGCCACCCAAGGTAATAGTACAGCATCAATTTCAGCTTAAGATTGAGGATTTAATCTTGGCGATGCACAGGAAATAAAGTTCCTGCCAAAAGTTTCTCAGACACGGAATTTGAAGTCATAGATTTGTAAAGGAAATAAAAAAAAAAATAAATATATAATACAATATACCTGTATCTGGAGGAGAAGGATGAGGAGGAGAAAGAAGAAAATTAAAATACGAATACTAAGACGAAGACGAAAGAAGAAGAAAAAGAAATACAAGAACAAGAACAAGAAAACACGAAGAAAGAAACGCTAGAAGTAGATGAAATTGAAGAAAACGAAGTAGACGAAGAAGACGAAAATAACAAGACGAAGAAAAAGAAGGAGAAAATAAAAGGAATCAAAGAACTTTTTTTTACCACAATAATTTTTTCAGCAAAAGTTTCCCAGATAAAAAAAAACAAAATACACGAAAAAACATGAAATTTCCAGCCAGTGGTAATTAAAAAAAAATCCCAATAACGTTGACATAAAAAAAATCCCCAAACACGTGTTCATTTTGCCTCAGTTATTATTAGTTGTTTTATCATGAACTAAATAAACCAGAAAATTAGGTAAAATTCTTAAAATAGAAACGGTCTTAAATATCACTTGTTATGAGAGGAGGAGAGGAAGAAGAGGAAGAGGAGAAGAAGAAGAAGAAGAGGAGGAGGAGAAGCAGAAGAGGAGGAGGAGAAGAAGAGGAGGAGGAGAAGAAGAGGGGGAGGAGGAGAAGAAGAAGAGGAGGAGAAAGAACAAGGAGAAGGAGACAGTGGAGGAGGAAAAGGCAATGGGGAAGAGAAAAAAGAAGACGAGGTGGATGAAGAGAGAGAAAAAGACAAAGAAGAAGAGAAAAGAAGACGAGGAGGAAGGGGACAAAATAAAAGGTGGTGGTGGTGGAGGAGACGGACCATTTGCTCAGGTAAACTCATCGCCCTCCCACACTGTAATCCTGAAGCACCGGGAGTACCTGGTTACCTTAGTCAGTCAAGAGATGAGTGGCCGAGACGCCTCAGCATTACAAGACGAGGTAATGGAGTCATGAGTCCTGACAGCTGATGCAAATGACTTCTTGCTCAACAATTAAGACGTAAATGCGTTTTCGTGTTGCAGTCTGGAAGCTGTGAGTAGTTTATTTCCAGCCCTTTCTGTACTGGCTCTCTCTCTCTCTCTCTCTCTCTCTCTCTCTCTCTCTCTCTCTCTCCTCCTTGTCTATACCACTGTTCCTTTTCTTTGTCAATTTTTCGTATATATTTTTTTGCGGCCTTTTCCATATTTCATCTTTATCTCTTCTCTAACAAGTCTCTCTTTTACCTCACCTCTCCTCCTATTCCTACCATTATTCCTACTTTACATATTATCTTTATTTCTCCTCTTTTTCTTCTTCTGATATTCCTCTTCCCCAAACATTCCTTTTATCGCTTTTTCTCTCGCTCTTTGTGTTCTGTTTTCGATTATTTTTGTAAATATCTTATCTTGACACAAAGGTTTATTTACACTCCTGTTCGAAGCTGTACCGAAACACCACGTGAGATAGTGCTACGTCATCTGGGTGTTGGCAAGCATTTCGGAGATTTTAAAGTGCCTCATGTTAATCCTCATGTCTTAAGTGCTTCAGGTCAATCATCATGTTTTAAGTGTCTCATGTCTTAAGTGCTTCATGTCTTAAGTGTCTCATGACTTAAGTGCTTCATGTTTTAAGTGCCTCATGTCTTAAGCGCTTCATGTCAATCTTCGTATCTTAAGTGCTTCATGGCAATCTTCATGTCGTAAATGCCTCATGTCCTAAGTGCCACAGGTCAATCATCAAGTCCCAAGTGCTTCATGTCAATCCTCATGTCTTCAGTGCTTCATGTCTTAAGTGTCTCAGGTCAGTTCTCATGTCTTAGGCACACATCTCTCGTCGTGTCCCACTTCTTCATCTTTCGACTAACTCTCTATCTTCTTCCCGCTGATATTACAGGTGGTGGCAGGAGCGAGGCGGCGAGAAGATCCCCATCATCACCAGCTCTACGGGCGTGGTGGGCAGCGGGAGGACCAGCGAGATGGGCGGCACGAGGACCTGGGGGAATGGGGGCGTGATGCTTCTTGACCCCAACACCCACGCCAGTTCCGACGACACTACCAAGCTGGTGTGTGAAGCGTCGAATGAGGCCGGGAGAGCAACCATGGAGGTACTGTGTGGTGTGGTGTGGTGTGGTGTGTGTGTGTGTGTGTGTGTGTGTGTGTGTGTGTGTGTGTGTGTGTGTGTGTGTGTGTGTGTGTGATGTGTGTGTGTGTGTGTGTGTGTGTGTGTGTGTGGGTGGTGTGGTGTGGTGTGGTGTGGTGTGTGTGTGGTGTGGTGTGGTGTGTGTGTGTGTGGTGTGTGTGTGGTGTGTGTGTGTGTGTGTGTGGTGCGTGGTGTGGTGCGGGTGATGTGGTGTGTGTGTGTGTGTGTGTGTGTGTGTGTGTGTGTGTGTGTGTGTGTGTGTGTGGTGTGGTGTGGTGTGGTGTGGTGTGTGTGTGGTGTGGTGTGGTGTGTGTGTGTGATGATGTGGTGTGTGTGTGGTGTGTGTGTGTGTGTGGTGCGTGATGTGGTGGGTGTGGTGTGGTGTGGTGTGATGGTGTGGTGTGGTGTGGTGTGGTGTGTGTGTGTGGTGTGTGTGGTGTGTGTGTGTGTGTGTGTGTGTGTGTGTGTGTGTGTGGTGTGTGTGTGTGTGTGTGGTGTGTGTGTGCTGTGGTGTGTGTGTGTGGGGTGTGTGTGTTTGCAACTCTCTCTCTTCTTTGTCTGTATTCTCATTAACTAAAACCAACCTCACCAACAGTAATATAATTATTTTACTTCATACACCACCACCACACCACCACCACCACCACCTCACCACCACCTCACCACCACCACACCACCACCACCACACACTACCACCACCACCACCACCACCACTCACCACCACCCTAATTACCACTACCTTCAATTAAATTGAATTCTCACCACCACCACCACACTTTTAAAACACATGCCTCGTCTTCTTTCAGTCATAAACAAGAAAATATGAACACACAACACCGTCTTCTTTCTCCTCCTCGCCAAATACAACTACAACCCCACTTCTCTCTCCATAATCCGGTTTAAGTCGCATTTAATCCAACAATTTTCATAATTTCGCGTCTTATTCTCCCTTTGTCTCACAGTTTTAGCACTATATTCCCTCCGATGTTTCTTAAGTATGTTATAGTCACTCCTGCTTCAGACTCTCTTGTTATTGTAAAAGTTTTCGCTCCGCTAAGTTTCGTATATTTCATTAAATTAATTTCGCTAATTGGATAATCCTAAGAAAGTGGAGTTTTTCGTGTTTTTCTTTTATCTACACCATCGAGTTGACCCTGTGTGTGTGTGTGTGTGTGTGTGTGTGTGTGTGTGTGTGTGTGTGTGTGTGTGTGTGTGTGTAGGTCTTAACTCTCGCCAAGACTGCTACACTTACGGCTGCTTACGGAACTTGCTGAGGCTCTCATCTTTCTACTAAACCTATGGCCATCTTCACTACAACGTTTCCACAACACAAACTCCCGGTCCAGCCCTCAACTACGGACTGTGTGGTGGGCGAGGGAGGGTGGAGTAGGGTGGAGGGAGGGGGTAGGTGAGGGAGGGTGGGGTGGTGGGTGACGAGGGTGGGGGGTAGGTGAGGGAGGGAAGTGAGGGAGGGGGTAGGTGAGGGAGGGGGTAGGGTGGAGGGAGGGGGGGAAGGAGGGAGGGTGGAGTAGGGGTGACGGAGGGTGGGGGGGTAGGTGAGGGAGGGTGTGGGAGTAGGTAAATCTGGAGGGTGGGGGGTAGGTGAGGGAAGGGGGCAGGGTGAGGAGGGGCAGGGTGACAGAGGGTGGGGGTAGGTGGAGGGAGGGTAGGGGTGAGGGAGGCGGGGTAGGTGACAGAGGGTGGGGGGGGTAGGTGAGGAGGTGGAGAGGGGAGGGAGGGGTAGGTGAGGGAGGGTGGGGGTAGGTGACAGAGGGTGGGGGGGGTAGGTGAGGAGGGTGGGGGGGGTAGGTGAGGGAAGGGGGGTAGGTGAGGAGGGGGTAGGGTGAGGGAGGGGGGGTAGGGGTGAGGGAGGGGGGGTTAGGTGAGGGAGGGTGGAGTAGGTGAGGGAGGGATAGGTGAGGGAAGGGGTAGGTGAGGGAGGTGGGTGGGGGGTAGGTGACGGAGGGTGGGGGGTAGGTGAGGGAGAGTGAGTAGGTGGAGGGAAGGGGTAGGTGAGGGAGGGTGGGGGGGGTAGGTGAGGGAGGGTGGAGTAGGTGAGGGAAGGGGTGCGTGAGGGAGGGGGAGGGTAGGTGAGGGAGAGGGGGTGTAGGTGAGGGAGGGAGGTAATGAGTGGCCGTAGGGTAGACTCTCTCATTTCTACTTCACTTGTCACTCTCCCCCTACCTGCTGTAAGTTGACTAATTAATGTGTACAGCGGAGTGGGATGATCATTACCCGTACCCCACTTCTCTCTCATCATCATCATCATTATTATTATTATTATTATTATTATTATTATTATTAATCATATACCATTAGCATTACTATCAATGTATTCATCATCATCATCATCATAACATCCAGCGTCACCATCATTACCATCGTGCCATTCACTGTACCACCACTATCATCACCACCATCACCACCACCATCATCACCACCATCACCACCACCACCACCACACACCACCACCACCACCACCATAATCCTCCTTCTACAAGACGCTGGCCTCTCCGACAAGATAATTCCTTCGCTATCTCTCCTAAGACACCTCTATATATCACTGTGGTCGACTGCCTCTCTCTCTCTCTCTCTCTCTCTCTCTCTCTCTCTCTCTCCTCCTTCTGACCTGTTGATCGCTGCCACCAATTCACCATAAGAAACTAAGAATTTTTTTTTTCACCTTCCAGCCCATTGACGTGTGTGAAAAATTTATTCTGTTGTGGTTATCGATATGGGTTTAATGTATTATAGTTGGAAAGGATTTATTCTCAATTTATTCTTTGAAAATCGGTATGTTAGGATTTGTTCTTTTTTATCTGGGAAGGATTTTTTTTTATTTGTAAGGTGAATTATTTTTTATGACTGTGGGGGATTTATTTTCGATTTGTTCTGTGAATATTGATATGACGGATTTATTTTAGCCGTTGTGGATTTATTCTATTTTGTGTAGGTAAGTGAATCGTTTTCCTACCTGTAAAGATTTATTCTATATGCTAAATCGAGATAGGTGTAATTTATTCTACACGGGAAATAAAGTCTCTAAGATATGTTTTATATTCAGAGTCGAGATTCTAAAATATATTCTATAACCTCACTCAAGATGGCATAAGATTTATTCAATATTCACAGTATGAGATTTATTCTACATAGACAGTCAGTATGTTGAGATTTATTCTACTTTAGAGCGAGATTCTTATACGTCATCGGATATGTAGGTAAAAACTTATTCTGAATTACGTTGTGATTCATGAGAGGTCAAAGGGGTGATACACAGTTTGTCTACAGGTAGCTGGGTCAGGTCATGTTTGGGACGGTTAACTACGCAGTTCATTCACTCAACAAACAGCCAATTCAATTAAGGTGAACTGGCCTAACCTTCTGTAATCAAGCGAACCCGTCCACTAGATTGCCTCAGGAAAACTTTTTTTTAACCGGACTTTTTTTCTTCATTTTTCTTCGGTTTTTTTTTCGTTCAAGGTCTTTTACTTTTCCATTTTCTCCTTCAGTACGGTGCAGTCGCCTTTACAGCTCCCGAATTTAAACTTCTCTATTTTTTGTTGTGTCAGTTTTCAAAATCACGTTATTATTATTATTTTTTTATAATATAAGTTTTTGTCTATGATTATCAAGGATTTCCTAAAGGTTTCGTCATAAAAGAACAATACCTTAATGGGAAATATTACTGTTTTACGTTTTAAGGTACAATAAAGTGACTTAAAAAGGGGATGAACGCCTAACAACAATATGCAAACATTTATTAACACACACACACAGACACACACACACACACACACACACACACACACACACACACACACACACACACACACACACACACACACACACAAAATCCTAAACAGATTTCATATTCACTCTAACGTAATCCAACATTAAACTAAATATCAAACGTTTCATCTGTATAACACGACAAAAAAGAAACAAAGACGAGTATAGAAGCGTGTAATCACATATAAACATAAGTGAGAAAAGATTTACAGACAACCTGGCGCCCCAACACTGTACGAAGCCTTAACAAATATTCTATCTAGCGTATAACGTAGAATAGTGGAATGAAAGTGATAATTACGAGCGAGGTATCGGCTGTAAAACACACACACACATACACACACACACACACACACACACACACACACACACACACACACACACACACACACACTGTTTACATAAGAATAAGAATGTCTCAGGTAGTTACATATTCCAAGCCGCGGTATGTACTCCCTCACTCCTTCATCATCTACAGTACGTAACAAGGACAGCTGTGACGCCTGCTTAGCACTACCGTCTACAAGTCAAGGAAAACATCACGAAGAAAATGGATATGAAGTAAATGCTCAGAACATACAGATATATTTTGGCTGTATAATGTCTTCACGGGTTCTCTGTAAACACAAACACGCATCAACTGATTCTATAAACACAAACATCAACTATACACACAAACACCAAATTACTCTATAAACACAAACACCCAGGGACTTCACAACCATCCAGCGGAGGAACACTTGGTACAGGCCAGAGAGCCATTAATAACACAGAAGCTGAATAAGAGTGAAATGGTTCGTTAATAAAGATACATAATGCTGTCTTATTCATCATATTTAACTCCAACCACGATTTTTTATTAACCCTGACACCCTAAACAAGACACACCCCCCCCCCCACAGGTAGGACCAACACAATCACCTCCATCACCCTTAAAACTATAGAAACCAGCCATAAGTATCGATTAGCCTGCAAGTCTCAAGTGGAGGTGGGGTGGGAAGTGCTTTAATTACATCGACCTGGCTGTACTTAAGGGCTTGCCGTTAGTAGTAAAATAGTAGTGGTAGTAGTAGTAGTAGTAGAAGTAGCTGTGTGTGTGTGTGTGTGTGTGTGTGTGTGTGTGTGTGTGTGTGTGTGTTTTATATACACACACGGTCAAAAAAGTATCTGCACACATTGGGTCCGATGATTTCCTAAATGATCAATACATCTATGGCTCAACGTAACCACCATGAACCACTCTACGTGTTGTTCACAAGATTAATCTCTTTTCTTCTGAATGTGTAAAAAAATAACAACACTTACTATGGATAAAACAGGAAACGTCGCTAGCAAGTGATATGTGGCATTTTGCAATAGCCATCGTCTATGGTGTCAAATTGTTTCGTGGGAAATGAGTAGATAGTTTTTTGATCGTGTGTAGCTGAGTAAGTAAAGGCGAACGAGACGCCCCAGTGGAATATAGAGTTTTGGAGTGTTTAATCTCCTCTCTCTCTCTCTCTCTCTCTCTCTCTCTCTCTCTCTCTCTCTCTCTCTCTCTCTCCTTCTCACTCACCCTCCCTCCCTCCTACTCAAGACACGATAAAAATTCAACCTGTATTATTGCATTCCACTCCAAAAGCTGTTGACGGAAAACTAATGCACCCGCAGAGTGAACACTTGTGTCCCGGTTATTAAGAGAGACGAGAGACCGAGCGAGATAATGGGTCTCTCGGAGAATTTTATCCCCTGTGAGGATACACTATGTATATATATATTATTATTATTATTATGAATTTCCTGCACGGGAGAGAGATTCGCTCTTTCTCTATTATGAAGTTAATGTCATGTTTCTCTCTCTCTATCTATCTATCTTTGTGTGTGTGTGTGGAAGGAAGGTGGAGAAGGACGTAATGAGGAACGAGGTTGGAAGACAAGGAGGGGCGGAAGGATGGAACGACGTGGGGGAGGGAGAAGAAGGGAAGTGTGGAAAAGAATGGAGCAGGTAGGAGAAGGGTGGAAGAAGGAGGAGGAGGAGGAGGGGGAGGAGGAGGATGAGGATGAGGAGGAGGAGGAGGAGGAGGAGGAACTGAAGATAGATTCAGCAGATAAGGAAAAATATATGATTATTTATTAATTCCTCTCTCTCTCTCTCTCTCTCTCTCTCTCTCTCTCTCTCTCTCTACGAGCTGTTGACATCTTAGACGAAATTGAATTTAAGACACCTTGTTTTCTAAACACACAAACACACAAACACTCAAACCTTCCCCTTACTCTCACACACATTCAGACACATTCACAACCCCACACTCACACTAATATTCCCCCACACAGACACAGACACACACCCACACACTCACACCCACACACACCCATACACACATACTCACACATCCCACCCACCCCACACACACTCACACCTTCCACACACTCCTATACACACACTCACACCTCCACACACACACTCACACCCCTGCACACACACACACACACACACTCACACCGATGGAGGAGTCGATCCGTCAACGCACTCAAGGTATTCCACGTACTGAAAATTCACAAACGGAACTGGGACAAAAGTTTGCTAGTCTTCTCAACAGCGCAATACAATATTTCTTCCGATTTTATTCATGCGGAATATTTTGAGCGACGCAAGAATGTATTGAGGTAGTAGCAGCCCACGAAGAGAGAGAGAGGGGTCAAGATTGTGTTAAAGTAGTAAAGTAGCAGTCCACGTTAGAGAGAGGAGAGAGAGAGAGAGAGAGAGAGAGGGGAGAGTCAAGATTGTGTTAAAGTAGTAGAAGTAGAGTCCACGTTAGAGAGAGAGAGAGAGAGAGAGAGAGAGAGAGAGAGAGGGGCAAGATTGTGTTAAAGTAGTAGAGTAGCAGTCCACGTTAGAGAGAGGGGGAAATCAAGATTGTGTTAAAGTAGAAGTAGCAATCCACGTTAGAGAGAGAGAGAGAGAGAGAGAGAGAGAGAGAGAGAGAGAGAGAGGGAGAGAGAGAGAGAGAGAGAGAGAGAGAGAGAGAGAGAGAGAGAGAGAGAGAGCATATCAACAACTTCTCCCATACAATTATTATCAACAGAAGAACACTTTCAATAACTCGCTCTTTACATGACTCATCTGTTTAGTTAGTTTCATCCACTTACAAACATGCGAGTGAATATTGTTGTTAAAACTATCACGCTATGTATTCAGTATTCAGTATTTCAATGTTTACGATATAAAATTCACCCACTCTGAATAATCAGTTTAAACAGAAAAATAGAAATGCAATATGTCAGTTACGTTTATCTACAAAATCTATTACAATTCTCTAGTGCGCTGGAATTGTGTCGTGTAAGCTTTGTGGTGTGTGTGTGTGTGTGTGTCTGTGTGTGTGTGTGTGTATGAGTGTGTGTGTGTTAGATCACTACCCGCTATATATCCCCGGTAATCCAGGACAGTATCCGGGATTAACACCGACCTCACGGGTAAACCTGTTACCTGCCTCACCCAGACCATAATATTACGTCACTCAAATCCGTCGAGTAATCCCCGAGTATCGGCGAACGTCAGCAAGAGTAGTGAGGTGGAGCGGCGGGGAATCTGTTTATTAGTTCTTGTGGTAAATATTACATCACTCTCGTCTGAAAATAATCCTAGGCTGACCATTACGAATCTCGACAACAATACGCTAACTCAGTTATTGTTATGTTCACGTATTACCTTATTGCGTTCATTAAATCCAGGGGTAATCCAAGAACGCTCCCTCCCGAGCGTCAACAAGCACTCACTGCAACATTTATGGCCACCGATTACGTTATTGCGTCTATTAAACGCTCAGAAAATGAACGAGTGAATCATTAAAGGCCAAAAAGAGTTTGTCCAACCAATCAACCTAAAGCCCGTCCATATTGCCTTATTACACCACTTAAATCCGAAGTAATCCGGAGGGTATCGGCGAACGTCAACAAGCGGAGGGAGGAGGAAGGTGGTAGTGGTGGTGATGGCGGCAGCGTAATACCTACCCCAGCCCGCCTGTGGATATGAGTGACGCCACCGGACGCAATATTGCACAGGGTAGTCTTCCATTTGTCTTGAGCGTGTAGAAAACGTGACTCGCCTGCTTCCTATTCTTGCCAGGTTCTTGGTGCGTGTCCAGCCTCCTTCTCCTCTCTCCTTCCTGCCGCCTTCCCCCCTCCCTCCATCCTCCTTCTCTCCTGCCTCTCTTCCTCCCTCCTGCCTGCTGCCTCCCCAAGAATATGACAACAACGATATTGAATTTGGCGGGAAGGAACACAGCGGGAAGGACTGAAATACTACAATTTGTGTTATAAAGTTGTGTTCAGGCTTACTCCGGTTACGAGTCTCGGGGAAAGTTTGATCTAGGAATAGTTAACGAGATGTTTGTATATGTGTGTTTTGTTAGTAATATTTTATATACTGTAATATGTTAACGTTGTAGAACCTCCCCCCCTCCTCTTTCTCTCTCTCTGACACTAAGAAACACACACACACACACACACACACACACACACACTATTTCACCTCATTAAACACACACATTATCAGACGTAGATTCAGAAGTGTACACGAGTCTGCCAGATAATCCCTTCCTAAGATTTAAGTTAATACAAAAAGTCGCGAGGAAATATTATCCACATTTTGTGCTCAGGAAATAAAGACCCTTTCCTGGGTTACAAAGGGCGGCACAAAAATACAACACGGGGAGAGATCGAAAAGGTTTTATTTTCTCGCCTGTGAGCCAATAACTCCATTAACCCGCAGGATAGCTCGTCAAAGCCATAATGTAGTTTTTTTCCTACACTTTCCAGAATACATTGAACGAATTTAAATCTTTTCGTTCTTCATTTTTTGGGGGGAAGCATTTACTAGATAAGTTTCCAAGTTAAGAATAGCTTTGTACAGATGGCAGCCAGACCTTGACGGGTATATTATTCACCTGCAGGAGGCCATATCTACACCAGTAATGATCCGACGTAAGGGTTGTTCTCTCTCACCAAATGGATTTAACCCCTTCTCTTGTGAAAACTATCTAGCGAGGTAAACTTTTCCTCTGTCTGTAAGAGAAATTGGGCAAGTTTGTGTATTCAGAAGTGTTGCCGGCGAGCGTGAGGAGGCGGCCCTTGGTCCTGTGTGTTCCTGGTTTTGTTTCTCTTCAAGGGGTGGGGGAGGGGTGGGGGGGGGAGGGGTGATGGGGGAAAGAGGATTTCTGGGTTGGAAGAAGGGGAGTGATGGGAGGGGGTGATGGAAGGAAGTGGTGATAGAGGGAGGATTTTTCAGGGGTGGAGAGGAGGGATGATGAAAGAGGGGAATGATTTTAGGGACAGAGAGAAGGGAGAGGGAGGGAATTTTTAGGGTTAATTAAAGGTATTTGTTTACACCTATCTTGATGGGGGTTGTGAGGAAGGATAAAAAGGTGGAACATTCTCAATATAATGATTTATAGTACCTCAAGGGGTTAAGTCATCGTAATTAAAGAGGAAAGGCATCGTGGTCAAAGGGTTAAGTTATTCATAGATTTTGTCTCTCATGTTAATCTTTATTTTTCCATACGAGAGAAAAATAAAGAGAGAGAGAGAAAATGTACATGTAATTACGTCGGTCTGTTGTTTTCTTATCTTCCCCTGTTGCTGTCTCCCTCGTTATCATGCGTTGCCTCTCTTTGTTGATGCTCTTTTACTTATTTTTTTTCTTGCCTTTGTCTAAGATTCCTTTATTTTCTTCCTCATTATCATCATTTTTGTCTTTGTTGTCGTGTTCTTTTATTCTCCATTTTTATTAGTCTTATTCTTTTCTTCTTGTTCGTCTTTCTTCTTCTTCTTCTTCTTCTTCTTCTTCTTCTTCTTCTCGTTTCCCTCTTTGTCATGTTTTATCTTTGTTCTCTTATTTCCTTCTTCTCTTACTCTCCAAATAATTATCCCTCCCTCACGCAGTTTCCATTTCCTCCTCCTCCTCCTCTCCCTTCCCTACTCTTCTTCGTCTTCCCCAACTCTCTCTCTTTCTCTCAATCTCTACCTCCTTCCCTCTCCTCCTCCTCACCCATCCTTCTTCCTCTCCCTCATTATATCTACGTCTATACCCCTTCCATCAACACCCACCCAACTCTTCTTCTTGATCTTCCCTGCACAGATCCGGGTGGAGCGGGCGGTACCAGTGATAGCCCACTTGACGCCGCGGGTGGTAGTGGTGGACGCGGGCGGTGTGGGTGTACTTAGGTGCCAAGTTCCAGGGCCACATCCTCACTCCATCAGCTGGTATAAAGATGGTCATGTTATTACCCCAGCTGGCAGGATCGGAATTACAGGTGAGGTCAAAGGTTAATTACAGGTGAGGTTAAAGGTGAACTACAGGTAAATGCAAGTTAATTACATATAGCCAAAGGTTAATTACAAGTGAGATTGAAGGTTAATTACAGGTGAGGTTAAAGGTGAATTACAGGTAAATTGAAGTTAATTACAGATACCCAAAGGTTAATTATAAGTGAGGTCGAAGATTAATTGGTAAATTTTAGTTAACTACAGGAAGTCAGAGGTTAACTACAGGTGAGGTCAAAGGCTAATTCTAGGTAAATTCAAATTAATTACAGATAATCAAAGGTTTACAGTCAGATCAACCGTTAATTACAGGTGACACCAGTGGTTAAATACTGGTGAGGTCAATGAGCAGTCACACTTGAGGTCAAAGGTTATTTACACTGGTTAATTACATTTAAGGCTAATGTTAAGGATCAATTACAGGTGAGGTCAAAGGTTAATTACAGGTGAGGTTGGATAAGATTATGTTGCTATAGTCATTATTGTTACTATAATGTTATATTATTCATTTTGTTGTGGTAAGTTAAGTACGTGATTGTATAAACATTGTTGAGTGTTTGTATTGAATTTGTAGCAATACTTTACGAGAGATGCATTATCCCTGATAGTCTCTCAGGAACAGGGCCTGAGATGTCACAATGTTGGAATAATGTGTGTCGTAGCACAGCCTCTCTGATGATCCAGCTGTTGTGAGGTCGAGTAGTATAATATATTAGTACAGTAGGTTAGGTTAGGTTGATTTAGAGTTAGGTTTGGTTAGGTTATCATCATCATTTACTTTTGACCATGTTTCCACACACACACACACACACACACACACACACACACACACACACACACACACACACACACGCACACACACACACACACACACACACACACACACACACACACACACACACACACACACACACACACACACACACACACACACACACACACACACACACACACACACACACACCAATTAACCACAACAGGCAACCATAACACAATAGAATGACTTCCACCAAACCTCCCCCACCTCTCTCTCTCTCTCTCTCTCTCTCTCTCTCTCATTAAATATCATCTTTCTCTAATTTTTCTTTTAAATTCAGGGAAAGTTTGTAGATAAGAAGCACTTAATAATCAATGGATTAAACTCACTGTCTGGAAAAACGGAGAATGACTGTGAGAGAGAGAGGGGGATGGGGGAGGGAAGGAGGGAGGGATAAGTCACACACACAGACAATAATATAATACTGTAATTATAATCAATATTAACGTAAGTGTAAATAACGAAACTCTAAATTAATATTTTTGTCAAGTTGGCCAAAGATTCATAAGTGCCAAATTTATTGATAAATATACATTAATTAAAAACTACGAAAATAAAAATAAAAATGTATGAATATAGATAAAACTTTCAACCCCGATTATTAGTGTTACAAGCTAATGGCAGATTTATCAATGCCAGATTTTGCCTGTTTGTACACATTGGACGTCAGATTTGAAAAGCCCTTTTGGGAAGGTACTAAACCAATCATCATATTTCTATTTTTTCCACCAATCATTGCCAGAAATTAGTGCCAGAATGGAGTGGTGGGGGAGGTAGGTGTGGTGGTGGGGGGGAGGTAGGTGGTGATGGGGGGTGATGGGGGAGGTAGGTGGTGGTGGGGGGTAGGTGGTGGGGGGGTAGGTGGTGGGGGGTGAGGTGGGGTGGGAGGGGGAGGGTTGTGTGGAATGAATGTAATGAAATTTCTAAAACGATGTTAACATCAGTCAAATTTGTATTGCCTCTTGTTTTCCCAATGGCAGCGAGAGTAAAATTCATAAAATTGTTTTAGTGCTGTCTGCCTGGCAGCAGCAGCAGCAGCAGCAGCAGCAGCAGCAGCAGTAGTGGTAGTAGTGAAGATTTTTTTAATTACAAATTACTGTGTCACCTCCATGTTGGGGGCCGGGGAAATAATATGCCTTTCTTTCTCTCCCCAATTTGTGACTCCGTCTTCTGCCCACGACTGTTGTTATGGCTCTGCCTGCTTCACTGACTGACCCACGCCTGGACGATGCCACCAACACACACGCGTTGGAATGACATCACGCTCACCCATGAACACCCGACCAATCACTGAACATCACACCCACGCCTCTACCCATCCATGCCTACTATGCCCATGACCGATATCAACTCCACCACGCCCACACACACAGAGGGTGGATCGGTGTTAGAGGTGAGGGGCGTGGGGCGGGCGGACGCTGGCATGTATCAGTGTTTCGTCAGGGGTGATGAAGACACCATCCAGGACGCGGCGGAGCTCAGGCTGGGAGGTGAGTACTCCTGCACCTCAAGGTCTTCTTAATGCAGTAATAACCTTTTCGGATCACATGAAGATTAAACACCCCCATCTTTTTGACCTGATGATTAAATACACAAATGTTAACCTAACCTAACCTAACTTAACGTAATCCATCCAGGTAGAGTTAAGATATTTACTCAATAGGTGGAATTTTTCACGTGGTACTCTTTTCCTCAGGGCGTCTCCCCAAGGAACCTCTCTAGTAACATGATTCTTGAAGTACATTCGTTGTTACTCAAGTGGTCAATATCTCTGGGTGTCACTTAAGTGTCTCCTCGAGGTCTTACTCAAGTGTTTTATTCTTTACTAAAGGTTCTCTTGTACTTCTTAACATGGGAATATGTACTTAGGTACTTCGTCTCGCAGCGGATGAAATAACTACTCTTACATCCATATCATCCATCATTAGTAATAGAACTATCGTTGTGTCAGGTTCCGCCCTACAGGATCACCACAACACCTGAGATATGTCGTCACTCACGGTGTGCCCAGGCGATCGATCGTATTGTATGGTATTTGTTTTTGATGAAGTAATATTAACCAGTACGGGTGCAGCCATAAGCACTGTGGCAACATTCAGCAGCTCACCCAGGAGGAGTAAGGAGGAGGGTAACTCTTAGGTGGGGAGTTATCGGTCCTTGTGAAGCCTCCTCCTCCTCCTCCTCCTGAACTAATATGCTCGTTTGTATTTGCTACGGTATTTACAGAAGCATACATAATTTCAGCATAGAAAAAGAGGCATAAAAAATAAGAGTTTTTAACGAGGAAGTACCATCTTTGGGTGAGGAGCTGACCATTGGGTTTAACCTTTCCAAATTTTCCTTCGTGATACTACTTGGATACACAGGCATATCCATACTATATTCCAGTTCACTATCTTCAAAACTAACAGACACACAAACTAATAAACAGACACTGTGCTTTCAATATTAAACACATTAAATTTCATAAAGATTTTCCTACGGATTTTTACGAGCATTATAAAACAACATTAATATTACGCTTATAATTAAACTCACAATATTACGCACAATATATTTGCATAATAACTCATTTACATAAATATTAACCCACCCCCAGGTGGAGCGACCCTAAATTATGACCGCCCTTATCTTTAAAACTGTAATAGGAGATTTTAAAGATTCATAACAACGAAGAAATCTAAATAAGGCTTTTCTCTCTGTTCTTTCATCGAATTATTTAATAAGTCTAGAACAAGTGTTAATGTTGGACGTGTCTTCAGCAGCAATAATAATGAAGTACACGACACTTGGAAAGGCGTTTAAATTAATCGCTAAACCCGCCTCTCCGTCGATCAGGAGTCATGACGGAGGTAATTTTCATCACTTGTAAATCTGAGACAGGGTACGTCACTAACCTAACCTAACCTAACCTAACCTAACCAACCTAACCTAACCTAACCTAACCTAAGTCAATCTAACATAATTTGGTAAGGTTATGATATCAAACGTTGTCTTAAATGAAACAAGAATAAGTTGTATCATCTATGAACTAATTTCTATTAAGATGTAACAATAAAATAAATGTATCCGTATTTGGCAAAAACATTAGTAGTGTTTCAAGGCTTAATTGGGTGATTAACCTTGTTTAATCTGACATCTCTCTCTCTCTCTCTCTCTCTCTCTCTCTCTCTCTCTCTCTCTCTCTCACGAGTACACATTTATTTTCTTACTCGCTTTCGCTTCTCTTCCTCTGTTTCCCTCTCACCCTCTTTCCCTCCCTCACTCACAACCATCCACTTTTTCCTTCCTTCCCTACTTTCCCCATTTCATCCCCTTCCCCTTTCCTTCCTTTCCTCTTCAACCCTAACCCACTTCCCTCTTCCCTCCCTCTTCCACTCCCCCACTTACTTTCCCCCTCTCCCCACTTCCCCCCTCTCCTCCCCATGCACCTAGCCAGGATGTCAACAAGCTCAGAAGCAAATTGACAGTGACATAACGCCAGGGAGTGGATGAGGGTCCAGTCATAAGTTTTGGGAGCTGCTCTGTCACCTGTCTGTATGATACGTCGGCAGCTGGTGGTGGAGCCTTCATGCCGGCCACCTGCCACCTCTCTGCACCAGCTGCTACCCGCTGTTTAGATGGTTCCTATTGTGTACTGAGGCTTATATTGAGGTGTGTGTGTGTGTGTGTGTGTGTGTGTGTGTGTGTGTGTGTGTGTGTGTGTGTGTGTGTGTGTGAGAGAGTTATATGACACTGCTGTTAATGGATGATGGAGTGTGGGGGAAGGTACAGTATGGTAAAGAAAGAACTTGGATTAATGGGTTAAGTGAATAGTGGTTATTTATGTCTTACTCTTAATTTTGTACACACACACACACACACACACACACACACACACACACACACACACACACACACAGTATCGAAATAACCCCCATAACGATCTTCCCACTGGCATTATACAGCACCCAGTCAGAGCCAAGTCCAGCCATTAATACCTGAATTGCTGTCCGTTTAGTCGCACACTTAATGGTATTAGTAATAATTCTTTGGCCAGACCTTAATGAAATTTGCTGTGTGTGTGTGTATGTGTGTGTGTGTGTGTGTGTGTGTGTGTGTGTGTGTGTGTGTGTGTGTGTGTGTGTACTGACCTGCTCGTTCTCCTCTTACTGAGTAGTCATGTTTGTAGACATACATACATACATACATACATGCATGCATATATACATAAATACATACATTCCGTCCGCCAACAAGTCAATAACCCGACAAGACCAACCTTCACCTAAACACCACAGGCCACACGCTGTCTCTAGAAGGTATAAGGCGTGGACATATTGCTTTGACCGTCAGTATGTCATCAACACAGTAACCTGGACCACGAGACCTGATGGCTACAGTGACTTACAACGTGAACATGAGAGAAGGTTTATTGGTATAGTGTTGTGAGGTTTGAGATGGTATTGTGTCTCTATTAGAGTCTTGTAACATGGTGCTGGCGTTCTACAGGACTGTCTATTTGTGCCACTCTTATATTCCTTAGTGAGTTCCTTCTTCAGTGTTGATTTCAGTTACTTTTAAGGCGAATGAAACTATAGTAAAGGTCATCTATAACGCGTAATTATGTCTCTAACTGAGGTTTGGAATAGTTAATCCAATTTACAGTGGGGTTATTCACTCAATGTACATCGAGAAGTTAGAACGAAAGATCAGGTGAATGGTGACAACACCCTGAACACGGAGGTACACAAACAACAAGTCCTGAGCCAAACAAATACACTCGGGATAACTTGCAACTCTTCACTATATACATGCAGAAGTCCTGGCACGAAAAGCTTCACAGAAACTTGCAAGATTACAGCGCATCTTTCATCTACTCACAACAGAGAAAGAGAGAGACCTTCAACTTTTACAGGTCCCAGATCACCTCTCTACTGGAGGACCCCTTCTTGGCCTGGTCTGGTTCAGTTCAGTTGCCTCTCAATATCCCTGATAGAATTCAAGCACAAGCACTAGCCTTGCCTCCCTCGCTTCCGGATCTCTGGCAGAAACAGCAAATGAAAGCACACAGCACTAGAGAGCCGTCACGGGACTAAACAACACTTCACAAGGTAGAGCAGTTGAACTTCTCTCCTCCATCACCTCTCAATAAACACCAGTGACTAAAGGTGTACTAGACCAGAACTACACTACCTTACATGTCATATATATCTGCATGTGCACAGACAGACAGACAGACAGACATTTCATCTACACCTACAAACAAAAACACATTAACCAACAATACATTATCCCAATATATGAATAATCACTCCCATCAAATTCCACACGAGCGAGTATTAATAGCCACACATTACTGCTATTATAACTCACTATTTGCCAGACACTTGACATTTTTAGTAGATAATTTGGTGTGTTGGCTGGAGACTTTAAGCGCCACTAGACCTTTATAACAGCGGTGAATAACTCAGCGTAAAATGACTGAATTAACAAGCTTTGGGGAGCCAGTCGATACGGGATCTATTATGAGGTATCTGTGTGATGATTGCTATAAGTTATCACAGGACTACTATATAAAGTTTACAATAAAATACATATAAAAAATTTAATTAACATAATATACCCGTACTGTTTATATAAGAACCTCACTTTTTCTGTGTTTTTTTTATATATATATAGGGAGTCCCAGATAATGTTCCTGCTTCTCTCCCTCCCTGCCTGCTCCCTGAGACACTGTGAGTTGGAGGGAGGGAGGGAGGCAAGGAGCAAGCAGGGAAGAAGGGAGGCAGGGAGCAAGCAGAAAGGAAGGGGGGGAGGCAGGAAGCAGGCAGAGAGGGAAAGAGGCAGGGAGCAGGCAGAGAGGGAGGGAGGCAGAGAGCAAGCAGAAAGGGAAAGAGGCATGGAACAGGCAGAGAAGGAGGGAGGCAGGGAGCAAGCAGAAAGGGAAAGAGGCAGGGAGCAGGCAGCAGAGAAGTAGGGAAGCAGGGGCATTTTTCTGAAGCATCTTTTATGTATTTAAGTCACAGTAAATCAAATCTACAGGTATTTTGTCCTTGTCTGATTTCAACAAGTCCTGGACAAGGGTTCGACTAAATCTTATGTAAAATTAATAAGAGGATTACGGAGTTATTCTTTGAGTCAATATAATGAAGAAAAAAATCTGGTTATTATAATTTTTTATAATAGAGAGTAAATTACTAATGTGTGTGTGTGTGTGTGTGTGTGTGTGGGGTGACGTGTGACTGGTATGGTGGATTGCTCTCATTGATCTCTAGCTAGTTGACTGACTGACTGACTGACTGACTGACTGACTTAACTCTTTGACTGCCACCACTCTACCTCCACTGACCCACCAACAACAGGCAACATAATAAACCCACATTTCAATCCCCATTACCCATACCCCATTACCTGTTGCCCATGACCCATACCCCATGACCCATACCCCATTACCTGTTGCCCATGACCCATACCCCATGACCCGTACCCCATGACCCGTACTCCATGCCCCGTACCCCATTACCCGTTGCCCATGACCCATTACCTATTACCCATTCCTCGTGACCCATTTCTCATCTTGTAAAGGTTACTCCAATGTCACGGCAAGTCCAGCATCAAGAATAATACATAGTATGTACACAATACAATGTGCACTCAACTAGCAACATAATGTGCACTCAACTAGCAATACAATGTGCACTCAACTAGGAATATAATGTACACTCAACTAGCAATATAAT